GCTCTGTGCCAAACGCTGGCGGTATTTGCCTGGCAACGCTCAGATGGTGGCAGTGAACAGGCAGCCTGCCATTCTTGCATAGGTGTTGCCTGTTCCTAACAACTACAGTTCAAATATGTTCAAATTGAATTTTCATCCACTGCTAAAAAGGGCATCTGTTGGGACGGGGATGATATCTGCATTGCGAGATATTTCGAGATGTTTGGAGGTCTCCACAGCTCCAAACAGCCAGCGGCACTGGCCATGGCGCCGTGGATGGCACCTGGATGCCGGGAGGTCTCTGCGTGAGTTGCTTCGTGTTTCCATGACATTTCCACCACCGTGTGACCTGTTGATCGAGAAGAACCCAACCTTTGCATCCACGAATCCTGCAAACTCCCGCAATCTACTGGTGTATTGCTTTGAAACAATGCAGTCAATCAAGATGTTGTACCCCGTCTCTTCTCAGTGGTGTTAACACACTTCGTACCCAACAAAGTGAAGCATCCATTTTGGAGCGCATGCAGATGCAAATATGTCTCAAATGTATCACAATGTATCATAATGTATCCATGTCCTGTCACGTAATGCCTCAATGTACTTCTTCACCACCTTGAACTAATACAAGCATTTTTGGGCTGGTCCGTTCGCAACAAAAATAGTGAAGGAATTTTGGCAAATATCAGCTTGGGCTTGACCAATTTCCAAGGAAAGCCTTCAATTTCCAAGCCTCGCATGCTAGGGCCTACTACATGCCAACTCCCAAACCACCATGGTGCCTCGTGCCGACGGCGCAACCAGCTGGCTGATTCCCGAAATGGTAGCGATAAGGTGCACGGTCATTGTCATCCCCATAGAACTCGGATACCGATCTCAACCTTCAAATTTCATCATTCCATCTGGTCCATCTGCTGATGTCCAAACGTCCGCTCACACACCTAAATAGGCAAACATTTTTTGTTCAAACTTTTCTCCCTTTTTGTATCAGACGTGTTTATGACTGATGTACAAGAATGGTTACCTTCGGATTCTTAGGCAACGTGTCTCTGGAGAAAACCCATGTTTCCACAATGGGAAGTGACTTGATTCACCATGGTTCCATTATCCTTTGCCATCCTCATACCATGCAGTACTGGTAGCCTCTCTTCGTTTGAGCGAAACAGGCACAAGATGCTGACTTTTCTCAACTTTCCGACAGCCCGAATTGGCGACGAACGCTGGTCAGATCCAGCCCACTCTGCATCAATATCATTCAATATCACCAATGGATACCAATGAATCTTGATGAATCTTGTCCTGGAAAAAGTTTCCAAACGTTGTTAGCTCATGCGGGATGCGGTCACAGTTTGATCAGCTCATTGGGAGGGAATGCACGATTCGAGTCGAGGTGTGAACCGGACTAGGAGCCTCAAACCCTGAAGACAATGACATTGTGACAGATTGTGACAGACAATGACAAAACCAACGAAAGTTCCAATTTGGATTGCGTTACCTTTTTTTGTCCTTGAGACACATGGACCGTTTCAAAGAAACCACGCAGACAGGTTTCACATGTGAATCACATGAAACAACAAAAAAGTTGTGGGGAAACATGGGGAAACATGATGAAACATGAGCTCAGAGACCCAGAGACTGGCCGGTCACTCTTAGTGTGCTGGCAACTCATTTCGGGGTACTCAATGTGGTTACTCAACCCAATGATTCCAAGAATCTCGCAGGATCTGACGTCTACCAGGATCCACGTGCGTCCACGTGTGCACCGCTACGTTCAGCGATGCCCTGGAAACTTGGCATTTGAACCCAGCAATTCCAGCAACTCTCTCCTGTCAACAGCATACTGGCTTCACTTAATTCAATATATTTCAATATCATCTGTTTAACATTCCATAAGGCATCAAACGGTAGAAATGGGATGACATATGATGACAGCAATCTGGGTTCACAGCAACGGCACGGCTAGTGGAAGACATCATCTGCGTGCTACGTTGACTACCGGAAGATCTCTCAGGCAGAAAGAGTATTATAGAATATTATAAAATATTATAGATATACCATCATGAATGGCTGTCATGGCTGTCATCAAGAAAAAACCCTTGGAAGCTACGGATCAAATCGATCAAACTGCTTCTTGGGGCAACCAGTTTTGACCCATGTCTGTATGTCTTGCTGAGGTTTGGCGTCATGGTGGCTGCAAGACATTTCTCAGATGTCATGGAGGAGTGGAAAGATCAAATCATATCAAATCTGCCAATGAAGCAACAAACTCAAACGCAAAATATAGAGTCTTTAGAGATCTATAGAGATCTATAGAGATCTAGTACGCAGATGTGGATGCAAACATTTCTTTTCCGAGGCTTTCACGGCCTGTGGCATCCATGTATTTGAAATTCACTTTCGCGGAGCTAGGGGGTATCCAATGAGCTCATTATCTGCTCTTCAAGAAAGAGAAGAGACTGATTCTCAAAGAGCGATTGGGATTCAATGCAATTCTACAGAAGCCCTATGTCCTTGATGAACCTGTACATGCTGGTTGCATCCAGTAATCGCAGTATCATCTCAACCAATCTTGGGGCTATGTCGAGCCAGTAAGCTCCGGTCGTTTTGCTTTGAGAGTCGTTCCGCTAACTACAGGCCCACCAAGGGTAGAGACCTATGGGGTTCGCGAGGTCATGTGTGGTGGACCCATCTGAAATCCGGTAGAAAGATGTAGAAAGTCGCACTGATCAAATGGTCTCAATGATATCAGTAGAAATTCAAGATAATTCAAGACACCAAGACAATTCAACGGCATGTATTGCCACTCTCTTCAACATTCTTTAATTACATCACTTTGGATTTGCATGGGATATGCACCAAACTAACAAACATTATCAAACTATAATAACTATAACTATAACTATAACAAACATTAACAAACTAACAAACTCTTCATGTGTCTCCTGATGTCTCCTGCCCTGGGCAACCAGCTGGTGATCCCGTAAGGGTCGCCGGCAAAAAGGGAGGCTCCGACGTAGCATGACGTGGCTCAATCGCAACTCATCGCAACTCATTACTTGGCCGACGCACATTGGAATCCCATGGAATCCCATGGAATCCCCTCCAAGATATGCGAAAACATAGCATTGACATGCATTGACTTCACTGATCTTTGCAGGCACTTCACAAACCATGATTGTACAATGAGGGACGGAGACATGGTCCAATGCTCAAGTGGTAAATATACAATATAAATATGAGTCTTTTTCACCTGATTCCATATCCATTCAAACTTTCATGGAACAGGGCCCTTTCAGCCACCCCTCATGCGCCCTCACTGCCACCCATTGGCTACGCAAAGTCGCGTGAGAGCCTGACTTGCGACCATGGAAATCTGTTGGGATGAAATGGCTAAGAATATCTAAGAATCATAGAACTGGATGCACTGAGTTTCTGACTGGAAGTAGCTCCATGTCCACCTTTCGGTCCTCCTGCCGATTAGGCACATCGCTGGACGATTGTGACGCTTCCAGAGCAGCTAGTTTTTGCTGCAATATCATGGGAAGATTCCTAGGTCAAGATGGTTGGAACATGTTGGAACTTGGGAAATAATCATCGATGTGATTCTGAACGGGTTTCCAACATTTTCCAACCATACAGCCAGTTCATAGCCAGTTCCAGCAAGGATCGGCGACCTGCAGGAGATCCAAACATATCCAAATGATGTAGAGGCCTTGCTCTGTGAGAGCAACGGCAAAAGGCTTTGCCAGCCCTCAATCTGACAGATCCCAGACTTGAGAGATGCAGGGGTAGCACCGGGCACCTGTTTTCCAAGAAACCACTCACGGCTCATCATCTTGGTTCATTTGAACAATCGCAATTTTCTTCCAGCAGTATATATATATATGCAATTATGGCAAGTTTAGGGCGGCAACTGTGCTCTCCTTTGTGGCATACCTTTCGGCGCCTCATCGATCAGGTGCAAGTGCAAGTCAACACAGAACATTCTCTGTTCCATTTCTTTGTTCCATGCTTTCAGTGTTCAAGGTTCAACATGATCGTTCTCAAACCTATCTGAAACCGACCTTATTCAAACTTAGAGACTTAGTTGCTTGATCCCTATGAAAGAAGGATAAAGAAGGTAAACTGTGTATCACCCTTGAGGGCACCCAAACTCTAACACAGGCCCACCTGAACTCAGAGACTTTTTCTCTGCCTGCTCGTATCAGTTGGAAGGTGGCTGATCTTAAGTTTTTCAAACAATTGCATTGGTTGCACTCAGCGATTTGAAATGCAAGAAAACAATTTCGTGATATGTTCGCTGCCAAAACTACAAACATATCGCAAACCAACGTCTCCATTGTGACAACGGAAGGATCTTCGTCTCCTCCGTGTCAACGATTTCAATCCTCCACCATCCGCATACAATCAAAGCCCTACATGTGATTGGTAACATTCTATCCACAGGAACTAGTAACTGTCTCTTCATTCTGCTTTCTGATTCAGTTTCAATCCTTCTGAAACAAACAGCTTAGTTCAGGCCATCTTCATAGAACAACTGGTTCAACGATGTGGCAGCTGGTTGGACCCACACAAATTGTCATTTTGGATCATTTTGGATATTTCAATACGAACATATCATCAAGTTTGGAGGAAAAATCCTTTGGAGTCATACCCCAACATGCCCAATTGTCAACCCAGCCACGTGCTACGTCAACTGAGTCAACTATCAACCCGCAGACGCCTCTGGCGGTTTTCTTGGTTTGGCCTGCTTGGCTGCCTGGCTGCGTATGATAAAGGTGAAGAACGAAAGAAGCCACCGAAGAATCCAAGGCATGGCTATCTGGAGGAATCCTTAAACCTGGCTAAGGATCTAACACTGTATAAAACATTGCTGCTGTGGCTGCTGTGGCTGACAGAAACAAGAAAAACCATCGGCAATAATTTTGGCAGTTTTTTGAGCAGTAAACCATACATTTCTTCAGGGTATCAATGATCTTGAGAGACCCCATGATCCGTAGGCGGCCACGATGGAACAGCGGAACTCAATCTGAGTTGCCAATCACCCACAAAAATCCATAGTGCACCTTGGGCTCGTCCTTCTTTTTGCCATTCACCTGCGAAGCGCCCGGAAGGGCATCGGGATACTCTTGGTATTACAGCAAAATTTCGACTGTGGGTTCCTGACATGGACAGCCGGAAGATACCATTAAAAACATATTCCAAACGAATGCGCCAAACGTGAAGGTGGAACATCATCCACAGCAGTCATAATAGGTGCAATTTGGTAACAGAGTAACCTAAGGTGCACCTGCAACCTTGCTTTGTTCGCAAAACTGACAGTTCAGTTCAACGGCGGGACTTGGAGTCTCTAATCCTACATCTTTGTGAATTTTTCACCCGCCTTCCAGACTCCAGGTCTAGAAAGCCTCATGTTCATCATTTTGCAACATATTGTTCTATATCTTTGTTCTATATCTTTGTTCTATATCTTTGTTCTATATCTTTGTTCTACTGTATATCTCTCTATATTCTCTCTATGTTTTCTACAGCTTTGATGATTTTGGACCCTTAAGTCTTACAACGCGCCTCACGTTTGGGCTCCCAAAGCTCGGCTGAACTCCGAGGGGCTTTGGGTGCCTGACATGCCATAAGCAAGGCACGAAATGGTTTACCAACTTGGGAAAGTCATGGTAAGTGATATATATATATATATACGTATATTATATATAGGTATCATATGATGTCATATATTATAATCATTATATGATATATATGGTACTTACGAATCCATGTACTTCATTGTACTTCTCTTTACGTACCCATTTAAATCGGTACCACAATATGAAACCACAATATAAAACCACTAGGTAAACCATTGGAGTACCAATATTAAAATCACGCAATCGTGTAAGTGTAAGGACCATATTGCTCATGCTGTCTTTAATACTGGTACAATGTATCCATGACCCCAAAATCAAAACTCTCCAAACTCGTTTTTCCCCATACTGGAGCCATGGAGCACCTTGAGCTGTATCATCTGTATCTGTATCTGGTTTTAGTTGTGGATGCACCATGCACGCAGTACATCACAGTACTTGATAGATTGTGACGCCAATGATCTACCACGACAGTTGTGATCCAAAGTTGTTCCCATAACCTTGCAAATCATTCTAGACGCCCACAACTGCATGGTTCTGTGCTGAAAGGGATGGTTCTGTGCTGAAAGGGATAAACCGTGATAAACCAGTTGGTATTGCACTGGCACTGTTTGACCTATGCTATACCCACACAATCTCCCATACACTTCCCTACATCCCCTGCACTCCAAGCGACCTGCGCGGGCGCGTAGCTTTTGGACACAGCCTCACAATCCAAACGAGATTGCGACTACCAGTTGCCCTTGGCGGTAAGATTTATCAGATAAATTCAGATAATAGATATCAAATTGGTATCTTTATGCAGATATCAGATATCTCACCATATTTCTGGGCCAAGCGCTTGATAGATCATGGGTCCAATTGGAGACCGGCCCACATACTGTAATTTTTCCACATCTATCTTAGTTCGCGTGAACTAAGAAGTGTATGTGTTTGCCTGTGGGTTCTCCCTGAACCTGAAAATCGTTGCTGTGTTTTTCTCGTCTAGCACTCCTTAGGTCCTTGATGGTCGGTCCAGGTGACGGCTCATGCTGCATATGGATCCAAACTCTGAAAGTCATGTTGCACACATCTTGCAGTACAGGTTCAGTGTGAAGCCATAGAGGGCGAGTGGCCACAAATCATCAACCATTTTTTTAAGTGGCCCATCCTAACTTATCTAGAAAGTAGAGTGGCGTAAACATCCCAAAAAGTGATCAACAATGAAAAATGTTTGAATCTGCCAATCGTTCAGTTTCATTGGATTACATTCCCATTTTTGTTGACAACAGAATGCATTTTTTTGGAAGTTATTGTTGGTTATTTCCCGGTCTTTGATTTAGATACCAGGAAACCAACCATCACCATCTCAACCATCTCCATCTCCACCAGCCAATGCTGGGGCGCAGGACGGGACCGCGGTCGTAGTCGGCCTGAGTCTCATGGCCCAATGAGATCCGCGACCGGATTAACACTTCATCCGCTTATCACGTTTCCGTGAAGATTTCTATGCCATGTCCGAAAATGGTGGCACACCGAAGGGATCCAAAATGTCTTTTTAAACTCAATGTTCTTAAATTGCGAATGTGATGGTTCTGACGATAAAGCAGTGAAATTGCGGTATACCCAATTTTTGATAATGCTAGGGTAAACCCATTTTGGATCCACATGGAATCCACGTAAAAATTTGGACAACTCCACCGACACGCCAGGCATCCGCACATCCCACAGCAATACGGCACGTGTGGCACCATTGGTGGCACCCTCAGGTAGCCGCATCTGGCGTGGGCGTTGCCGTGTGTCCCTTGCCTATCCTTGCCGTTTCAGAGGGAGATTGCACATTTGTTTGCTTATGTTTGGTTCATAAATTGGTCATACATGTTCATACCTACGCATGTTCTTTGGATTTGGGTGTGTAAAGGCCCCAGAATATGTAGATTCCTCGGTACAAATTCACATCCAATTTTGAGGTCGATTCCTGGAGCAAACAATACGGTAACATCATGCAACATGGTAACACATGGTAACACCATGCTTCTCCAGTGATGGATGAAGTCCTGTGCCAAAACGGAGCACGGGCTTTGTAATCCACTACGAAACCGATGGCCATCAATGACCGTTGCACAACCGGCTGACCGTGGGTGGGATGTACTTCGCTTGCTCGAGCTCATCCACCTGAGTGAAGGGCTGGGATCGTTGCAGAGCGTTGCAACCCAAGACTTGGACCGACGACAGCAGAAAAATCTGCCTAACCCAATCTGGAAATCGATGGTCATCAAATGTCGTACGAGTAACATGTCATAACATGTCATGACATGTCATAACATGTCATAACATGTCATAACATGTCATAACATGTCATAACATGTCACAACCTCATAAGGCGCCGCTTCTATCCGGTTGCACTGGTCGTTGGCGTCGCGACGAAATTATCAGAACCTGATGTGAACGGTTCTCTTTGCATTTTCATATACTATCATACTGAATCATACTGTAGGTATATTCCGAAGCAACGGCTGCACCTGTTGCCAATGTTGGTCCATCTGTGCAGTCGACAATCGGACAATCATTGGTCCACCTGGGTGCCCCAGGCCCAGCCAGCCCTGCGATGTTCTGGTTTGCGCCAAGTGCCATCAGGACTAGGCCGGGACTGCAAAGTTGGGGCAGGGGATGGCAGGGGACACTTCACAAGTCTTCACAATTTGTGTTGATCAATGTTGATCACATGATTTAGAGATTCATCAGCCTGCAATTGATCTTTTTTCAAGTGATAGAATGTATATGATATAAGGTTACCATATATTATCATATATTACCAGGAATCTGAATTGATGTGAATTGGTGACCCAGGAGTTGATGGCACAAGCTGCAAGCAAGGCACCGTTTCGTCCAGCGGATTGTGGCGCCATCCTGTCAGGATCACGCCAGTTGGAATTTGATGGAATTTGCAGATGATTTGCCAAGTTGGAATATGGCTATTGAGGCTATTGATATGGCTATTGCTCACATTGCTCAGAAATGAGGAGCAGGGATTCAAGCGCAATGGGATGGTAGGATCAAAAGGGGTCCAATTGCTGTTGATGTCCCATGTACCGCTCTTGATGAATGACCCTTGATGCTTGGGGTTTGCAGGGATTCGCAATAGCTACCGTTCAAACAATATTCTATGCATACTTTTTGTGGATCGGAACTGTATTCCGTTGACGTGATTCATGGATATTGGGAACATCTGGGAACCATAATCTCAAAAAATCCCCTTCATCTCCAAGTCATCTCCAAGTCATCTCCAAATCGGAAAACAACTTGGGTCCTCCAGGTCAATCTGCACAGCTCCATCGGCTTGATGGGCTTCTGGCGGGGGCTCCCTGATCCAGGACAAGCAACATGCTGCAATCGGCTGCCAAAAAGGATCAACATTTTTTCAAAAAAAACAAAACCTCAAACAAAAAAGATCAAAAAATATCAAGGATATCAAAAAAGATCCAAAATGGCTGACGATTATTGAGACTTGAGGGAACTTGTGGGATCGCGCCCAGCTCCATCATCCTCTTCTGGAATGTGGCACCCTGCCTAAGGCTCAAGAGTTGTGCTATACGTTCCGTCACGTCCTGGGAGACGCATTGGCCGGCGTTAAGTTTGGAGAATTTGAAGATGAAACCAGGAAAAATACAACAACTCAGCTGGCGGGCTATCGGTTAGTTTCCACCGCTCAAGGCACATTTGAGGGCACCATGACCATGATGCCAAGACGTCCTATGTAGTAGGCAGGGATTGAAATCGAAAATGTTGAAGCCACCATGGAAATAATCTGTCTGCGCAATCTTGTTCAACACACTGTAAGATTTGCAATGTTTGCAGGCTCGCAGTGGGTGGGTTATAAACAAGAAATCCCTGATGTATCAGCATCTTGGCAAGGTTTACATTCCCAAACATGGTATATGGAGGGAAGGCAAACGATGAGAAATTTGGGTTGTGGTTTGCTATGGTTTGCTCAGGGGTTGTTCATCCCTGCAGACTGTATTCATCTACATTATATCAACTGCGCATTATCATCGAAATGCATCGAAATGCCATGCAAGCGAGTTCGCAATTTGCAAAGAGCCATCGGCTCATGCTGTGTGATTGGAAATGACCTTGTCATAAATTGTCGATGTTTCTTGAAACATCTTGAAACCATTCCGCTTTGGGGATGTTTCTTCAGACCAAACCCAGTCGCATCAACTTAAGTCCCCTGCAACATCCGGCCCTCCAGCTTTGGCGGCTGCGGCAGCAGCCTGACAGCAACTGTGAAAACGAGCCTGTTGTGAAGTTGGGAGGTTATAAAAGAAGCGTGAGCCGATCATGAGATGAAAGATATCAAAAGAATATCAACAGATATTGAAAGTTGGTTTGCAACGTTTTTTGGTTGGCAAAAACATGCAAAACTATTCAGTTTTCCCCAAGCTCGGGAGTCTAGCCTTGGCTGCCGCCACGGCAGCAGGAGCTTGCGCCAGCTTCTCCATCCTTCAATGGGTCCAGGGTGGGGGGAGCTACGGTGGGTTCCTGAAGGGAGAAACTACAAACATGAAGCTCTACACCATAGATCTAGCGTGATCTAACGGCTGGTATCTGAAAAATCTCACGTCTCACATTGCCAACCCATTTCTTGGCACACTATACTCGGAACATAATTTAGTGAAACCGGTTCCTAGAAAGACTCTCAGCTTCCGCCTCATATCAATGTTCATTGTGGGTTCTGAAACCGATGAAGTACAACGGAACACTCCTATTATGATGGCCCAAGATGGTCTAAGGATTTTCCAACGGAGGATATCTCCTGAAATAACATCTAAGACATGCTACGGACAGCCAGTAGGGTTTCCTAGTTATTCCGAAAAAAGAATGTTCGAATCCACCACTCCTTCCACTCCGTGTGAGTTCAAAGTCCCAAAGCGTTCCATGCAAGCAAAAAGTCGGTAACATGTGAACTCCAAGACCGATTGTGCAAAGGTGCCTGGTAGTCTCCATGAATGCCATGAAACCCTAATGTTTTTATGTTTGTTATTGTTTGTTCCAGTGAAATCCATTGAATGTTTGGAGTACTTTGCAATATTTTGCGGTATTGCCATGTATTGAATATCCGACCGCTTGCCCCATGGCCCAACGTAATGCTGCTTCACCCATAGTGGGATCCGTGGCCTCTCGCGCTTGATTCGTTCTTCCTGCTCATTTGGAAGCAATGGTGGTTTTAGGATGCGAGTCGGCAAAATGGATAGGGGATAATAATGGATAATAAGGGATGATCGCCAACACCATCCACGCATATTCTGGTAATTCTAGTACAGTATCTGGTAGTCAGTGGAAAGAGTGGATCACCCAAGACAGTCCGATCATGTCTGAGTTTAACAAAAGTCCGCTTTGACTCCGACGCTAGGATTGATCCCTGAACTCTTCAACCCACCAACGATCACAAAGGATTCAAACGCTCGTTGCTCGTGTCCATTCTCTAACGAGTTGACATTCCTCATCAATGTCGTCCAAGAGCTTAGATTAGATCAGTTTCAGATTGTTTCGCAAACAGTTGCTATGCTGTGGATGCATTTTGCTTCAGGCGAGAGCCTCTTCCTGGTGTGCAGTCATACCAACTTTATAAGCAAAATGGCAGAGACACCCCGCAGTGTGATCATGAAACATTCTTCATCGGGGCTCACAAAATTTTTCACAAGTAAAACAGTGATCTTATTTTATTGCACCATATTATGAAATACTTCTTGAATGTTTTTGGAGGACGTAGCGGTGTAGCGTTGTGACTGCGCGATGGGCCTTGGCCACGCGTTCCGCCTCGCGTTTCTCGGCGAAATCCACTTGGTGTTTGGAGATCTGTGCCGTCAGCCTGAAGTGAACTGCAGGGCTCGTCCAAAACTGCAATAAGAATTCAAAGAATTCAATAAGTACAATTTTACCCCGGATTTTGATGGCCCAATTTTCAATCCCATTGGGGCCGGATATGGCCGGATAGAACATCCAGGTGGGTTTCCACTTCCCCTCATGGGACCCAGGAAACAAACAACTCAACAGGTTCAACACGAATGGCTGCAATTTTGTCGCACGTTTGCACTCTGAGCCTGGACCTTCAGGTTCCTTTTGCCCAGATACGACCAAGCCCTGGATTGATATGGAGTTTGGATATGCCCATATAATTATCCGTCATGCAGCATCATATAAACATCATAGATATTACTATATCTACCATTATCATCATCATCCATTATCTACCCCCTACTTCAGTTTCAGGAATAACTCATCCCCTGTGGGTCGCACCATTCAAGTTGGTCCTTGTCGACTGGCCACAGTTCCGGTTTTCTCCACGAACCTCCGGCAGAACTTTCATAGGCATTCAGAGACGCATAGGCTTTTTACATTTTTCACCTCATAACAATTGGATACAATTGGTCAGTTACGTACTGTTTGTCAAGCTATTTTGGTGAATTATCTTCCTACTTTATAGGCCAAACATCGTCACAGGCGCATCATAAAGACCATAAAGGGTGCATTGGAACCGCAACTGGAAAGCGTATGAAAGCGTGCTGTGTGCATTTGATTGTGATAAATTGAAAATTAATTGGCACCGGGATCGACCACTACTCTTTCTGAGTTCCCATCATGGAGAAGGACTGGTCAATGACATGTCAATGACGAATCGGCCATCTCTCAGACTTGCTTTCGATCCTAAATCCATATGAAGACATATTAAGACATATCAAGACATGACCATGCTGGAAACAAAATATGGTTTCCATATGTTTCCATTGGTTTCCTGATCCCCAAAGTGTCCAGGCCAGGATTTCTTTGGATTCCGGACCGTTGCTGCGCTGCGTCCACCGTAGGAGCGAGTTGTCTTCAAGCAACTGGCGTCGCAGCTCGGCTGAGTCGTGGTCGAAGTGATTTCAGAATCTCAAAACTGCCGTCTGCAAAGCTATGCAAAGCTAGCGGCATTTTATTTTGTCCAAACCTCTGACATTTCAGGAGAACAGATGATTCCATGAACTCATCATATCTCATCATATCCGGTATCCATCGGTATCCAATCTTATTTGGGCGTCTGCTCTTCCCAAAGTTGACCTCAAACAGCACTCAAAGGTGGCCCTTTTCCATTGTCAACATCTCATGAGTAGTAGATTTGTTGCTACATGTTGCTACACAATGGGATGGTCTTATGCCAAACCATTCCGAAGTGCTAGTGAGATGTTGAAATTCTGTATCTTTGTAATTGTACATAATTCTATGATATCTATGATATCTATGATATCTATGATATCATGTAAATTTAATCTAGATTTAATGGAATATGATTCTAATATATTCTAATACTGTATATCATGATTTCTGGTTGTTTCCAGATGTTTCCAGCACCTGCAAGCGGCTCCCATCAGGTCGCGGCAAGGCATCCTCCGGCGGCGAGCTGGGCAGCTCTGTCAACAGCGGCCGCGGCGCTCGATCATCGCGTTGACCCAAGGAGCGCCACATGGCGATCCCGGCAGATTCCGCGGATTTTCGGAGCTGAAACTGAAAACTGGAACTTGTTTTGGTGAGGTTAGATGATTGATATTTGAAGATAAGTTGGAAAAAAATGGAAAAAGGAACACTAGTGTGAAACAGTGTGAAACTGAATGTGCCGGTGTTTTTTAGAGTCTTGACAGATCAAATGCTGAAATTCATGCTGTGACCTGGGCCTCACTCAGCTGATGGCTGTGGTGCTTTTCAATCTGGAAGAACGATTCGAAGTTCAGGCAAATCAGGCCATTTCGCTGTGAAAAAAGTGGACGCTATGGCAAGCCTCTCAGCCTCATGCGAAGCGGAACTACAGACACTGTGGTTTGAGCCGGGCCACCAAATCCAGGCTGAGGCTGGTTGGCTGAAGGTATTTCAATCTTTTTTTGGCCCATTTCAATTACATCTGAGAATGCAAAACATGTACTCACAGCTCACACCTCAGTCATTTCAATATGGATTACACAGATTGCTTACTATTTTACCTTGATTGTATGTCAATCCAAGTGCGAGGAAAAAGGCATCATAGCAGTCCTGAATTTCAATCTGCATGGGTGGACCGTTGTGAACCCATCTAGGGTCGGTTCAGCTTTCACAAATGTTGTTGACTTTGCAGACCCTGCGAAAGTTTGTGCCAGCTGAAGCAGTCGAAGGCTTGGCAAATTCAAATATGAGATAGATTCAAATAGAACTACTGTACATCCAATCACAGGGATGAAAGAAAGAGATGCCCAGATTGGTAGGGTGGACTGCTGATTCAAATGGCTTGCAGTGATTCTTACCCATTGGATACATCTGCATGATGCAAATGATTGCATTCCGAACCGTCTCAGCTCCCTTTGGGCATGGCAGAAAATGAGCCGCTCTCGTTTCTTTTGGCCCCTGCCATTGCAAGTGTCCATTGCAAACGGACCCCAGGTGACATCAAGAGCATGCGCTGAAGCAGCTCAGGCAGTTTAAAGCACATGACACGGCCCATTTGTTGGCATTCAAAGTGCCGTAGACCCAGTCTTTCAATGATGACAAAACATGCAAAGATATGATTATCAAATGATTACTGTATCCGTCAACATTGTCCTCGTTCACCAATCTTGTCATCAAGCACACGCTTCCGGCTTGAACATTGTGCTGGGAACCCTGCGATGTTTTTTTTTGGACTTCCGTGAAATTTTTATGATGATTTTGAACCATGACCGGTCGTCAAATCGCAAGTCAGTGTGGGTCGAAAATAGGGCCATGTCGCGTGGCCGCGTGCCCTCAGATCAACTTGCTAAGGTCAACACCCTCAGGGTGGGTCAGGTGGACGCAAAACCCTGGAAAACTACTGTGTTTGGACCCTCAATTTGGACAAAATCAGAGAATTTGAAGCGACCCAAACCGAAACAAATCAAAACATGATATTAATTGATATTAGATACATTCATGATATAGATTGATATAGCATAGTCAAAATGATTCCATTTCAGGAAACCCATGCGTTGAGCCCAAGTCACGGATGTTGTGATGGTGGACGGTTAAAAGCCATGGCATGCAGTCTTGTCATGGCCCACAGCAAGAGAAACGACAAAATGTCTGCAAATGTCTGCAAAATTCATCTCATTTCTATCAGTTTTGTTGGCCCGCGTGCTTTGCTTCCAGATTCAACTGAATGGGGGAACCAACAGATTGAACCATTTTTCATCATTTTTCATCTCTTCCAGAGCCAGTCAATTCACAAAAAAGTGGAGTTGGCACGAGTTGGCCATGTAAACATCATTGAGTTGAACCCGACCACCGAACTTCTCACCATGGCAGGGACTAGACGTATTTTGGGACTCTCCCACAGTTATCTGATGTAGAAATCGAACATAACAGTGTTCCGAAAATATGTAGAGCTCAACATCACCTACATGCAGATTGATAACCAATGATATTGGAAGGATGTATAGAAATTGGATATTTCATTGGAAGGATCTTGGCTGAAAGCCTGTTCTTGGTTGAACCCCATGACATTCCTGTCTTTAGAGCATCTTCAAAACTAAAATATGTTAATAAATACTACTGACGAATACTGAATAATACTTCTATATAATACTGATAATTTTGATAAATCAATATAAATCATGCAATTAGATTAGATCATATTAGATCTGATTTTGTTCCGAGTCTGTGGGCACCACCCGGACCCCGAGCTGCTGCCCTGCGCCCAGTGACGACGCGGAGGGTCGACTTTGCAACTCAATCCCCACCTGGTCCGGTGCATCATGGCTTCGCAAAAAAAAACAGTGCAAGACAGCGTCTCTCAGCTTGCCTTGTCCACAAAGTTGTGAATTCGATATTATAATATAATATATATTAATTATATATGACGTATAGCATTGAACACAATTTTATACAACGCATTCCTTTCTGGCATATTCTCGGCAACGCGTTTATTGCTCGGTATGAGACCTAATGCCATGCAGCGGTCCAAATCACAGGGGTGTGATTTGTTGCTGGTGCCTTTCCAGATCCCTTGAAACTACTTCGTGGAGTGGTGCCACGACATGCATTTTAGACATAGCACCCGGGTGTTGCTGCGATATAGAATCGCGCATCATTAGAAAACACATGAAAACACCTACCCACTTAAGAGATCTTAAGAGTACCAACGGAGGTAGTCTTGATAAGCCTTGGAAAAGCTTGATTCTCATCAGCATCTTTTCATCAGGATTCTGTACGGTTGAAGAAGGAACGACGAATAACATCGAATGACTATGTTCTGAAACCCAACTAACATATCTGGGTCTAAGAACATGTCTTTCACCAAGATGCGTCTACGGTGTCATCCTCATTGATCTGTTCCTCCCAGCCGTGACAAGGAACAGCCAACACACCCAATGCGTACTATGCCCTTGGGATCACGATGCATCGTTCGTCTGTCTATGTCTGTCTTATTGAGTGCCTCACCGGGCACTACTTGGCAAAGCAAAGGTTGCCAGATCAGGATTTCAAATTCGGATACACCTTGAGCAAACATAGGAAATATTTCTGGACAAAACCAGGGTTTCAGCAACCGGAAATTGCATTTACGTTTATAGGACGATACAGGAAAATTGATTTCTGTTTGATGGCAAAGTAATTTTTTGTGATCCAATCCCAAGGCTGTAAGGGGATGTTGCTTTTTAATGCTTTTTACAAACTCGAAGATATCCAGTGCCGCCGTCAGCCGCAGTCCTGTAAGTTACAGAAGTCTGGGAGGCCCTTCCCAGACGCAGTGTCGAAAGTGGTTTTGATGGGCCCCTGCCAGCGTGGTGTGTGCACTCATGTTGCCCCCATCGGTGTGCACCTTCCAAGTGTACCCATTTGGTGGAGAATCTCCTTGCACAAATGATCGGGTTCACAATACTATCCTAGCCAAGTAAATTACAAGGCTCTCACTTGCTACAAGGTTTTACGACGCGCAAGTTGCATCAGAGTGAAGCTCATCCCCAGTGAAGGTCAAGAATCGTTAGTTGTCACACTTTGTCACTGCAACGAATTTGGTGCCCTGCCTTCTTGACCTTTCCCACGATCAATGTGAGGATCAAAACCACTTTCTCCGGGCATCTGGCAAAGCTGCAGCCATGTAATAGCGCTAGATGTATAAGCTCATGATTGCGCCTACTGTGTGTTCGATATGGCTCAGAATGGCGCAGATGATCGAAATCCGATTGTTCAGAGAGGTGCAATCCCCACATATCCCCCATGGTATGCATAGTGATGGCATAGTGATCGCATAGTGTGCAAAATGCACTACCGGAACGCAAACATGGGGATGAAAGAAAGTGAAACAAGTACCGGAAGTGAAGTGGACACACAGACCACCATCCTTCTAATGTCCTGGAAACCAACTGAACTCTGTGGATTCTAAGCCGGTACCATATCCATACGGTCCATACAGTTTATGACAGGCTGAAGCCATGCCTTGGGCTTCGAAAAAGGCACAGACCGTGTGAGGCCCACAGGTTGGGTATCCGCCCACTTCTTTCCTCTTTTTAGTGATACAAAGTTTCATGGAACATGTGGAGTGTCCAAAAAATCCACCGCAAACATCTTGTGGGTTTTGCTTTGCAAATAATCAACCCCCCTATCAGACTGACAAAGCAGTGCCTCACATAGAGGGAACAGAAGCCATCCTGCCATCTGATCGAAAGGTCGGAGGAATTCCAGGAATTCCAATTCGAATTGCTGGGCTTCCAGTCATTTCCAGTCCCAGAAATGGGGAGAGTTCACATCAAAACTGGCTACCATCTGTAGGTTGAACGGTTGAGCCACGGAGACAGAAACAAAAAGAACACAAGTCAAGGAATATTAAGGAGATATTTAAAGCGTTTTAAATCTGTGTGCTTTTTGTATGCTGTCAAGGACATGGCCACCAGTTCGGGGTCCTTCTTGGTGGCCGCACAGCCATTTGGATAGAACTCCATCCTCAGCATCTCAGTGGCAGACTTTAGGGCTGCTTGTGACAGGTGCCTGAAACCTGGAGTGTGTAAAATGCCTGAAAATGAGATAAAATGAGGATGTTCAAAGTCGAGTCAGAAAGACATTGACCAACGCTAGATTCACATAGATTCACTAGATTAAGATCTCTTGTTAACATCCCTTGTTTGGATGCCCCTTGAGGCCAACCTTTCTTGATGTATTATATTTACCAAACTATTGCTACACATGGTAGACCACCATTCTATCAACAGTCAAGGTCGACGCATCAAAACCACATTGGTAAACCCGGCAACACCCCCGACGCTGTATCAATTTCACAAGCTGGTAAGGAGACTATAAGAAACCGACCTTGAGTCCAGTCTTTGCCAAGCGGTTTGCCTCTGACGCCCCGGCTGGATATCACTGATGCCGGCTGCTGTGAAGCATGGACTACATCTGGGCCGGCGAGGTGAGATCCACGGGAAAACCTTTCGAAACATGCGGGTGACAGAAGTGATGAACTCTGAGATGAACATAGTGAAGCAATTTGAAGCGGAACTCAGTGGAACTCTGAGTTTGATCCTCCAGATTCCTTTTGCAAACAGTTTGAACAAAAGTGTACTCAAAGTGTACTCAAGCGGAGGATTGATCATTCCAAAAAGGGATTGAAATCCAAGAGTAGTTGGAACATGTTGGAACCACTAAGCCGTCCTATGAGTCCTATCCCTCGTCCTGGACTTCCGCAGACATTGATGAAAGCCATGACTTCCAACACCAATACGTTGCAAGCCAGGGCACATGGAAGCACCTCGTTGGTAAAGGTTTAATGCCTGACCCACCTGGCGTCAAGTGGGGCTGGTTTCAAAAATGATGGAACCAATATTATAACCAACAAAATATGGGTTCCATTGGGTTCCCAAATCTTTTATCCGTCGGGAGGGCAGTTGCGGTGGGAAGGTCTCAAGCGGCACATATCCGCCGACCCCAGCCATCTGCAGGGGGAGCGCGCCCGAGAAAAAGTGGCTTCGCGGCACCTTTTCTTCTGGTTTCAGAAAGCGACGTTAGGTAGTAGGCTGCCGTTAAACGCTTCCCGGCGCCCTCGGCCGCCCTTAAACCTTGCCCTTAAACCCTGCCCTTTAACCCTTCCCGGCGTCTTTGGCGGCCCAGCAGCATGTCCTTTGGCCACCTGCCGGGCGCTTTTCTGGAGATTTTCTTCTCGTTTCAGAAAGCAACGTTAGGCAGTAGGCTGCCCTTAAACCCTCCCCGGCGCCCTGACCTGCCTTTAAACCCTTCATGGCGCCCTTGGCAGCCAAGCAGCATGTCCTTTCGCCACCTGCCGGGCGCTTTCCTGGAGATTTTCTTCTCGTTTCAGAAAGCAACGTTAGGCAGTAGGCTGCCCTTAAACCCTCCCCGGCGCCCGGAGCCTTCATGGCGCCCTTGGCGGCCTAGCAGCATGTCCTTTGGCCACCTGCCGGGCGCTTTCCTGGAGATTTTCTTCTGGTTTCAGAAAGCAAAGTTAGGCAGTAGGCTGCCCTTAAACCCTCCCCGGCGCCCTGAGCTGCCTTTAAACCCTTCATGGCGCCCTTGGCGGCCTAGCAGCATGTCCTTTGGCCACCTGCCGGGCGCTTTCCTGGAGATTTTCTTTTCGTTTCAGAAAGCAACGTTAGGCAGTAGGCTGCCCTTAAACCCTCCCCGGCGCCCTGAGCTGCCTTTAAACCCTTCATGGCGCCCTTGGCGGCCTAGCAGCATGTCCTTTGGCCACCTGCCGGGCGCTTTCCTGGACATTTTCTTCTCGTTTCAGAAAGCAACGTTAGGCAGTAGGCTGGCCTTAAACGCTCCCCGGCGCCCTGAGCTGCCCTTAAACCCTTTATGGCACCTTTGGCGGCCTAGCAGCATGTCCTTTGGCCACCTGCCGGGCGCTTTCCTGGAGATTTTCTTCTGGTTTCAGAAAGCAACGTTAGGCAGTAGGCTGGCCTTAAACCCTCCCCGGCGCCGTAAGCTGCCCTTAAACCCTTCCCTGTGCCCTTGGCGGCTCAGCAGCATGTCCTTTGGCCACCTGCCGGGCGCTTTCCTGGAGATTTTCTTCTCGTTTCAGAAAGCAACGTTAGGCAGTAGGCTGCCCTTAAACCCTCCCCGGCGCCCTGAGCTGCCTTTGAACTTTTCATGGCGCCCTTGGCGGCCTAGCAGCATGTCCTTTAGCCACCTGCCGGGCGCTTTCCTGGAGATTTTCTTCTCGTTTCAGAAAGCAAGGTTAGGCAGTAGGCTGCCCTTAAACCCTCCCCGGCCCCCTGAGCTGCCTTTAAACCCTTCATCGCGCCCTTGGCGGCCTAGCAGCCTGTCCTTTGGCCACCTGCCGGGCGCTTTCCTGGAGATTTTCTTCTGGTTTCAGAAAGCAACGTTAGGCAGTAGGCTGCCCTTAAACCCTCCCCGGCGCCCTGAGCTGCCTTTAAACCCTTCATGGCGCCCTTGGCGGCCTAGCAGCATGTCCTTTGGCCACCTGCCGGGTGCTTTCCTGGAGATTTTCTTCTGGTTTCAGAAAGCAACGTTAGGCAGTAGGCTGCCCTTAAACCCTCCCCGGCGCCCTGAGCTGCCTTTAAACCCTTCGCCCTTGGCGGCCTAGCAGCAGTCCTTTGGCCACCTGCCGGGCGCTTTCCTGGAGATTTTCTTCTGGTTTCAGAAAGCAACGTTAGGCAGTAGGCTGCCCTTAAACCTTCCCCGGCGCCCTGAGCTGCCTTTAAACCCTTCATGGCGCCCTTGGTAGCCAAGCAGCATGTCCTTTGGCCACCTGCCGGGCGCTTTCCTGGAGATTTTCTTCTGGTTTCAGAAAGCAACGTTAGCTGTGGTTTTGCGCGGTCTTTCCTCGCCCAAGAACCGCGTTTTGGAGCGGGACAAGTAGCTCAGAAATCTCCTCATTTTCTATGTTCAGAAGTTACGTTAGGCACTTTTTCGCCGCCTTTTTTGCGCCTTGTCCGTCCTTCACTGCCATGGTGTTTCCCCGTCCGGGGGCTGTGGTTTTGTGCGGTCTTTCCTCGCCCAAGAACCGCGTTTTGGAGCGGGACAAGTAGCTCAGAAATCTCCTCATTTTCTATGTTCAGAAGTTACGTTAGGCACTTTTTCGCCGCCTTTTTTGCGCCTTCTCCGTCCTTCACTGCCATGGTGTTTCCCCGTCCGGGGGCTGTGGTTTTGCGCGGTCTTTCCTCGCCCAAGAACCGCGTTTTGGAGCGGGACAAGTAGCTCAGAAATCTCCTCATTTTCTATGGGTTTCAGAAGTTACGTTAGGCACTTTTTCGCCGCCTTTTTTGCGCCTTCTCCGTCCTTCACTGCCATGGTGTTTCCCCGTCCGGGGGCTGTGGTTTTGCGCGGTCTTTCCTCGCCCAAGAACCGCGTTTTGGAGCGGGACAAGTAGCTCCGAAATCTCCTCATTTTCTATGGGTTTCAGAAGTTACGTTAGGCGCTTTTTCGCCGCCTTTTTTGCGCCTTCTCCGTCCTTCACTGCCATGGTGTTTCCCCGTCCGGGGGCTGTGGTTTTGCGCGGTCTTTCCTCGCCCAAGAACCGCGTTTTGGAGCGGGACAAGTAGCTCCAAAATCTCCTCATTTTCTATGGGTTTCAGAAGTTACGTTAGGCACTTTTTCGCCTCCTTTTTTGCGCCTTCTCCGTCCTTCACTGCCAAACTAATTGTTTCAACCGAAAATCTTGTCAAGGTTTTCAAACATTCATGTGGGTAGTTTCTTTAGAGTTTCATTTAGGATTTCATTCATGAAGGTTAAAAAAAACACGGAAAACAAGGTGGAGGATCCAAAAAACAAGGTCCCCGTATACTTTGATAAACTATCATGCACCTGTGCGGCGCAACCATGCACCTGTGCGGCGCAACACTAGCTGCATAATAATAGGGCCAAAACTATCGTATAGATATATATATATATTATCTAACTATTGTACAGTTACTTAGATCCGTGAACCCATAAAACCATAGGATCATAATATCAACATGCACCCAAATGAAAAACCCATTTACAAATGAAAATTCAAACCTATCAAATATAGTTCACAACAATATACATAGGAAAAAGGTCGAAAGCCTCAGAATTTAGTTTGCTTCCTTGCCGATTCTTCCGGGGTCGGCGGCAGGGGCGGCAGCCCTTAAATAAAGTGGTTTGAAATCTGATCCGAGGATATTTAAGCTGTCTGATTGTCGTCTCTCAAACATCAGCTCTGTACTCTTCTTTGAAACTTACTCATGCTTCTTGAATATACACAAAGTTGGAAATATGAATCAGGCAAATTCTTTACTTCAATTTTGCCAGACCTCATGTTACGGATTGCCATGATCGTTAGTGACTTGGAATCACAAAGTGGATTAAGGATGTTTCCACAGTGAGAGATGGACAGTTCTTTATGCTCCGATGTTTTTTGGCCGCATGAGACCCTTTCAAACTCTGACCTCCACTCACCTCCACCCCAAGAACAATCCATCCCAATGCCTTTTTCACCTTCCAAGTGATGGACTTTACTCCTCGATTTTCAAGGACTTCGGCCTGGTGCTATCTCAGGGCTGCATGCGGTTCCCTATGCTAACATACTGAACTTGACATAACTTGACAAGATCTTTTCAATGCAAATCTGCAAATCCATTTTTGCTCCATTTCACGGATCTTGAGCAAGAAAAACATCCATTGTTGTATGATATGACCTTGGCCCAAGGACCCAAGGACCAGTTTCCAGTGTGCGATTGAGAAAACTACTTGGAATTGGAGACGTTCGAATTGGAAACACATTTCCTGGTTTTTGAATTTTTGGGGCAGCCGTCAATTGTCGACCAACCGCTGCAACACAATTTTGATCGCAATCCGATTGTGCTTGATCCCCTTTTTCCTAGCTTCCAAATCAAAACCAGTCACATGTATTTTTCCCCAACGGGGTCAAAAGCACCAACGGCACCTCCTTCTTGACCCAGTGCTGCAGCGGCCAAGCGTAGAGGCTCAAATTCCTCTCGCTGATGTTGTAGGTGGTCATGACCTTTTCGCGCACAGCTCCGTGCGGTTCATTCCATGTTCTCAATTGGATTTGACAAAAATGAAAGGGGGGGAAAATATGGAAAAATGATACGAAATCCGTGGAAATCTTTGGAACTTGCCTTTTTCATCACAGATGATTTACCACACGACAAATTTCACACATGATGCATGATGTGTGATGTTTATAGTTTTGGCGTCTGCATAAAAACGTAGTTAATTCCGGTGTTCTGAAACCAATATTACTTGCGAAATCTTAACCGTTCCGATTCCAATCAATATTCTTTGTGCATAAGTGGCGGTTCCAGCTGAACATATCATGGATTCATGGGCCATCTATGCACGGAAAAGAAAACCAAGAACACAGACCTGTTTGAACTACATAACTGATCATAACTATATAATACTATATAATCATAACTGTACAACCCTGTACATTTGCCTCGGTTTTCAACTGGTCTATGCGTTGCAGCCATAGCCCCACCTACTTCCTTGTATGATGGCCACTATACGGCCTGTGATGCCACCAGTACATTCATTCAAATTTTTGCTTCGGCAAAAACCCTGCCGGCAAAAGGGGGCCTTCCCAAAAAAGGTTCAATCAACGAAAGTCGCAACGTTGCCGACCTAATTTTTACGTAAGCATACGTAAGCAAGAAACGTGCCACCAACCCATAGTAGCCGCACCTCAAAGATATTGCAACCCACGGTCACACTGTCGTTTTTAAGGTCGATCTGGCAGCAAAATGGACCCCATCTGTAGCTCCCGCCATGACATGGGGACAAGGCAAGATGCACTAACCAGCAATAATCTGCAAAAAAGGTAGCAAATAAATGAGCAAACACATCACCTACAACGATGGGAGCGGGTGCATTTGAACAATAACTGGTGGAAGTCAACCGGTGTTAATGCATGTTAATGCTTTCCCTCGGGTGTTCAGCACTAGGAGCCTTCACCCTTCGCCCTATGTCAAAGATAAACGTTCTGTTGTGGACGCATGGCGCATGGACGTTGTTGAAAAAGTTACAACGAGATAAACAAAACCTTAAACCATTCGAAGCTCATCCTGGCCAGCAACGTCTACTGCATGTATACCAGTCAAAAAGGCTCAAGGTTTGCAACCCGCTGAGGTTAAACATGACATGAAGCATGTGTTTGAACATCAGCGCGAGACTGCTAAACTGCCGCGTTGGGGTAAACAATCACACAGCTCCACTGCCTTGGTGCGGGTTTGTACCAAGTTTAGAAACGTTTAGAATGTGGCTCCACAAAGACCTGAAACAACAACAACAACAACAAGAACAACAACAAGAACAACAAGAACAACAACAAGAACAACAACAAGAACAACAACAAGAACAACAACAAGAACAACAACAAGAACAACAACAAGAACAACAACAAGAACAACAACAAGAACAACAACAAGAACAACAACAACAACAAGAACAAGAACAAGAACAAGAACAACAACAACAACAACAACAACAACAACAACAACAACAAGAACAACAAGAACAACAACAACAACAACAACAACAAGAACAAGAACAAGAACAAGAACAAGAACAACAACAACAACAACAACAAGGCACAACCACCATATGTTTGCTATGCGGAAGTATACTGTATCAAAAAGTGATTCTCTCGTAATATAGTAGAAACGGATGAAAAAGGGCCTCCACACGGCTTTTCAATAAAATATGAGCGACCATTACAAGAGCCGGAGACGGAATTTGCACAATTTTGCACAGTGACAGTGAAATCATCCACGTGGGACATAGGACTATGACTCCTCTTTTACGGCGATGACGTTTTCACAAGAGAATTCACAAAGGATTGCAGTACATTGCAGTTTTGTTTCGGAACACTGCCGATGTCTCCGATGTCTCCGATGTCTCTGATGTTCGAAGTTTCGAAGTTTCGGCCTCTGGCTCTAACGGGCAGAAATTGGAATGGCCATGTCCCACTTCTCCGTCGTACCTTGGACGTTTGACTCGGAACAGAAGCAAACAACAACGCAACATCATGAACACATCATGAACACATGATGAACACATGATGAAAACATGATGAAGCTATGATGAAAAGCATGGGAGATATCAAGATCTGAATCTCTGTGCTCCAAAACTCCTGCGAAATCTCGATGCAAAGTGATTCAAGATCTTCGCAAGGTCTCAACACGAGATCTCCTTGGAGTTCCTGCAGAGTATCTTTATCATTCTTTATCCATTCTTTATCTCACATATCTCGAAGGTCTGAGTAAGACCTCTGTAAAAAATGTCTTGTGGATACAGATCCGCGTGCAGCTTCTTGGCAATCAATGGATTTAGGACCTAACTGGTGGTGCAAATTCTTTAAAGCATCGCACTCAATAAGGATCATCCTCCCACATCATGACTGGAAACGAAATACTTGCATCTATATAAGTGACCCAAGAAGCAGGGGAAGAAGTCGATTGGTTGCGTGCCATGATAGGAACTTTGTGCATTCTTACCAGGGGCAGGGGGTGACAAGTACCCCATCAACCATGCCCTAAGCTTAAATTGAAGTTCAACTTCAGATTGGCTAATTACGCTAATTAGATCTAATTAGGCCCAGTCCACTCACAAAAAACAAAAAAGACATGAAGGATATGACAGTATAATTATGTAAGTAATGTAATGTTATGTATATATATATATTTATACATTGCTATGTCTTCAGCATTCCGAGAGCTCCAGGCAAGAGATCAGGGGATCCGCGCGTGTCTTCATCTGGAGCCTTCATGAAGGAACCAACCCAAAGCTGATACCTGGCGATGAAGCAGTTGTCACATCCCAACAGTCCTTCGCGGTGAAGCATTTGGGCAGCAAAAGAACTGACAATAGCCAATGAAACAGGCTTTGAACGCGTGGATTTCTCATGCTTTCTTTTTTCTCTTGCAACTTATATATATATATTGGTCAAAATACTAAATGCAAATTAAATTCCTTTGACCGGTCCATCGTTGTGAAAAAGAACGCGCTTGTGAACACGCACTGCACTGGATGTTGGGTAAAGCTGATTTGCAGGCTCAATATTTCTTTTTGTCTGCTTGGAGTGCCATTGGCTGAAGGACATGCTGATGGTTTAGGCCGACCGCATCAACCTTGTGGGCAACCCTCCAGTGAAAATATGTGGAAATCTTTCCATATCAAACTTGTTAAAGATGGTTTGCATCTTAAACAAAATTAGCGGCGGAGAACGGTGGTGGCCCGCAGTACCTGATTTTGGTTCCCGGAGGACACCAGAGGAAAAGCGAGCAAAAGCCTCGGCGCAGCCGCAGTGACTTGGAGATACTTGGAGTTTGTAAAATCGAATGGAATTGATATTGAGGTTGAACGATTTGTCCAATGAATTTCAGTCAGATGTGATTGCAGGTGAACATGGAGGACCAAGAAACATTCGGATGTTTCGATACCATAACCATAATTGGGGGTGTCAAGGCCTACTTTCCTCGCAAGGCTGGGAAAAATGAGTGATTTTTAATGTATATTTTACAATTTCTTAAGGACTAAGATGCTGAGTTTGACATGGGGTGAGGCACAACTCGAGTCGGAGCCCAGCTTGAACCTTCAATGAAACAGCTGCGATAGTGAGAAATCTAAGGGGCCGCTTGAGTTGAGTATGCCTGCTATAGCTTGCTATAGCTGTTCATTGGCTGTTCATGTTGACAATAGGTCTGCTTTTCTCAGAGGAACAACTGAAGAGTTTTGATGAGGAATGAGGTGCCATTTCGGACCCCTAACTTGCCTATGTAAGCTCTATGAAAGGCTGCGAAGAATATACCCTCCAATTTTGGTACCTGAATTGACCAATGAAACTTGAACCAGGTTGTTTTGGAGCTTGTTTTGGGATGCTTGCTGAAGACAACAGCCCAATGGTTGCAAAGGGAGTTTGAGGCACTGTGTCGCAGTGAACATGGGGGTTTTGCTTTGTATCATGCATACATATGCGTACCATCAGCATTGTACAGTACACTTCTTACTTTGTGACCAGAGTTATTTACCTTCTCACTGGGTCCTGTGCCATTCCACGATTTCTCTCGTCCGTTGGGCAGGAACTCCAAACGTACTTCCTTGGTGGGCCATGGCAGGACAACGTCTTTTGAAGTGATAAAACACGTAAAAAATGGATGATTCCAAGCCCACTTATAGAATGGGAGGCAATATCATCAAGGATGTAGTACTATTTATATATATATATATACGTATATATATATATACGTATATATATATATACGTATATATATATATTATATGAAGCGGGGCTTCTAGTGTAAGAGGGCCGTTTCTTGTAAGGCCACACTGTGAGCAGCAACTAATTTACTCCTTGACTCGGATCATAATGCACCATACAATTACATCATATTACATCATAATTGCTCATAAAAATCATACGGAGCCATACTGTAAATGTATGATACATTTCATATCATTTCATATCATTTCATGCCCCGTCCGTGTTGGTGCTTGGTTTTGTGTAGGCATTTTGACCCCAAATTCGCGATTTGATCGGCTCCATTGCGGACTGCGACCGCACTGTGAAGGCCAGACCAAAGGGGTGCCTCTATACCAAAATCGACGAAGATCGACGATATCTTGTATCTAAGCTGTATCCACCAAAATCAACTGAGGTGTGCTCATGATGCTCATGTTGCAGGAAAGCCTTTTGTATCTTCCACTTGGGGGGCCAACACATATGTGCGACTTGGGATTTCGCTCGAGGGTAGAATCTTGAAAGAGTGAGCAGTGCGTAGACAGTCTCCTGCACTACGTGCGGAAAGCCCCGCAACTCCAGGCAGCAATGACCAGTGGTATCATGCCATTTCAATCTATTTCAATCCATTTCATCCTTAAATCTGAGATACCAAGACCCCGGGCGTTGATCCCTGCCAGCTTGAAGCGTGGAGACCTGAGGGCCAAAAACATCGAACAAATTCACATTGACATTGACTTCGGTTGGGGATGTAAACATAAAACCACATGGCTGTGATTCAACCTATATAGCTGCAATTGCAGCAACAGCGACACCAGAGAGATGCTGTTTGTCAAGTGTCGACCATTGAGAATTCACTGTGCCGTTTGAAAACGAAAGCGAACGGTCAAACGTCAACATTCGTATAAACGATGGAGGCACAAGCAATATAAGCAATATGGGCATGCAAAAACCGGTGGGCATAAGTCACTGCTGAGCATTAGCCTATCGGAAAAAATGCAGGAAATTAAGAGGGCTCAACTCCCAGAAACGATCGCTGGCAGATGAGCTGGGCTACTGTCAAACATGTAGATGAGGAATGATGAGGATACAAGCAACACACAGGACGACGCAACCAGAACAACTAGCAAAGAAACGGTCTTTGGCGATGTTCTATATATATATATATTATATCTATGTATAACCCAAAAAATATGTCTTCATGCAAATACAATAGTGACTAAGGTCAGGATGTGGACATTCAGAATCAGAGCCTGAAAGCTAAAAGTTTAAAGCGTGGCTTCAAAACCAGCAACAATACCAACAATATTGTACATCAGTTGTGGTTGATGGATATTCTGAGGGTGGAAGCAGTCGATAATATAAAGGTTACTTGAACACAATGCCTGGCAACAACCCAGGTCTTTTGATCTGTGTTTTGACCCATACTGGATCGTGTAAAAATCAGAATTTGGGCAAAGACCATTCAAACAATTCAAGTCCTACAAACATGCCTCTGGACGTCCAACGAAATCACACTTTGGAGTGTCCAGGGACTTTTTGTCGCATGCTGCGCCGAGAAACCACATGGGCGTGCCCTTGGGGCAAAGCTTCTCCTAGCTGTGACATGGAGATATGCGGGAAACCAGCATGACTTTGGGGCTTTCAAATTTGATTCATACTTTAATATTATATTATATATATATGAGATTGGACCGAAAAAAGGCCATGAGATCTTTCTGGAAAGACATGAACATACTATCCATGGTTGATTCACCAACAGCGATGACTAACCATGGCAGGTTTTAAAAGAAATCATTTTCCTGTAGCTATGCGCTTGGCATGGATAGTGAAGAGACTCTCCATGACTCTCCTGGAAGGATGTATCATTATCATGAGTGGTTTACAAGCTTTACCAGGTCAGGACATTGCTCTGACTCTCCAGTCGTCATAGAAATTCACAGAAACCACTGTTTTTTTTGGTGATCTATGCCCCAAAGCCTCAGAGGTTTTGCGGGACTTAAAGAATTTAAAGAGCAAAGACTCATGATGGTCTACTCTTGAAGAATGCGAAACTCATGTCGTAAATGCAAACAAGACTAGCAGCTGAGGCTGCAATGCAACAAACGCGATTAAGTGCAGAACATTGGTGTTTCAATTTCCATGCTGGCCAGCAATGGCATCTTTATTCCAGAAGAACTTTGGACGTTGCTATCTTTGCATTATCTCAACACTACCTTTGCTAACTCTTTGTCAACTTTCCATAACTTTCCAGAAGCCTTCCTCTCCCAAGATCACGGAAATCGCTCCTCGCTTTTGAAGTTCTTGATGGTCCACCTCCCCAAAGCACGTCTGAATACAAAGTGAAAATCTAGCTAAAATATGCTTAAATAGATAGAAATAGTTTCAAAATTGCGATGAATGAACAAGATTGAACAAGTTCACTGTGACAATCAAATTCAGTGAATACCGTCGCTGACAGAATCATCTGCACGACCATTTACGATTGATCAAAGAAATCTTGCATTGCTTCATATCACTTCCTGTCACAAGCGTCATATCATATCATATGTATATATATACATGATATTAACATAATATTAATATTAATATAATATCTCATGTTCACTTTATATCATTTTATATCATCCCGTGACACAGTGGTGCAACATGGTGCAACTCACCGGTGTCCCGGAGGGTCAAAACAGGAGCTACAGAGCTACAACTAAATCTGCATCGAATGTGCATATAATCTGCAAATGTTTGACAACTCAAACCATCAAATCATAATAACTCATATCAGATTATGTGCAGCCTTGATCACACCGAATCAAAAACCATCAAACCATCACAAGAAGCCATGATGAGCAAATGATGAGCAAATGATGAGCAAATGATGAGCAATAAAAAAACAAGGTGCCAGTCCCCAGCCCTCAGTCGTTCCATGACCAGGTGCACACTGCCGCCCTGCACTGCCCTGAGATTTCCCAACTCCACAGTTCGAACGAAGGAGTCAGTGGAGCTGTCATTGAAACCAATACCTAAGCTGTCAGCATCGGGTGCTGGTTGGGTTGACAGAAAAATGCTATGACACAACAGGGGAAGTGGTGAAACCAACCAATGGAGAATGTGTTGCGTCAATCTCCTGCACTGACAGCCAAAACCCAGCGTCAACGTTTTGAAACTGAATAGCTCGCGACATTTCAATTCTACACCAAAATACCTGCAGAAGTGTTTTTCTTTGCCTGTGTGTTGTGGGAATTGCGAAGTCGAAGCTGCCCTTGGCCTACCTTTGGGCCGCGAATCTTGGAAACGGCAAAGTTGTCTTCCAAGAAACATGTTCGTCATATTCGTGCGGATATAAATAAAGGGCTTGAAAAGGTCTGGATAGGTCATGGTCTGGTCATGGTCTGGTCTTGCAGAATTCCAGGTTTCGGATGTCCGACCTGGGCCCCCCTGGCTGCGCGGCTCAGTCTCTTCATATTCTCGGACGCGCCTGGCCCGGTGATATCTGGAGGATTCTGCGAGGCATCTGGCATCTGCTTGCCCTTTTTAAACGTTTTCAAGAGTGATGCCGTGAGATGTCTGCAGATCCAACATTTCGTACCTCTCAACAAATTTGTGACGCCACATGTCTCCCAAAGAAACTCGAAGCTTTTCCGTGGCAGTGAGCTCTGGATGTTTTGCTTGTTGCCATAGATGGTAAATGATGGTAAGAAGTACTACAGCTCTTCATCGTCTTAGCTGAGCCGTGCCGTGCCGACCTGAAACTGGTGTTCCCCAGCTGCACAATGGTCATCAGTTCATAATGTTCAATTCCACATTGATGGGAGTTGCACAGCCTATGTTACACGATGTTACAAGGAGACACATCAAATTCGCCCTGGAACTTGACTACGCTCGTTCGTTTTTGGGTATGTTGCCTGCAGGTGAACTGCCGGTGAATCAGTGCATCAACAAAACTGTCTGAGGGAAGCTGTTTGAACTATGGTAAACTATGGTAAACTGCTTGAGAGGTGGAAGGCCTTGTGTTTCGTTCAAATTCCAACAAGCCGAATCGGTGGCAGATTTGATCATTGATGAACCTGCTGTAATGATGTCACGAAACTCCCAAATTGGTACCAAGTTGTTGGATTGAATGGGTTCTGTTGATCTTAACGTTTGAGCAGATCAAATTATTTAGCAAACTGCCAGCCTGTTCACTAATGAAAGCTGTTTATGCCAGATTATGCATGCTGTTGGTTGGGCTCCTCCATCAAATGGCATATAAACTACAGGCATCCGAAAATAATTGAATTTGCAGATTGGTTTGATATGGGTTGACTATATCATTATATCTGAGGGATTTGGGTCCCTGCGTGAAAATGTTGCATGTCCCCTGCTGAAAACTTGCGCTGCTGATGGGCAAACAGTTTTTCACTGTTGCAACGGCAGTTTCATTGGGGAGCACCTGTTGTTCTGGACAGTGAGATCGTTGCAGACCATCAGTAGAATTCTCCATAACAAATTAATCCATCCGAAAAATATTTAAAATACTACCATCATCGTTGTAATCCACGTGTCACAGCCTTCTCAACTCCTCAATCTCCGATTGAATCCTCAAGTTGAAAGGAGAAATGCTTCGGTGCCAGAGGGCCATGCAGCCTTGGGTTTTCCCTCCGAATAGGCTCCTTCTTGCGTACTGAACACAGTATCTAGGGGTGTCCAGAAAAGACCTCAAGCGTTTCTTTCAAGGACTGAGATTTTCAGCCACTTCATTCTATCTTCGTCATAGTTCCCTTGTCAGTCTTGAAACGTAACTCTTTCCGTCAACTGAATTGAACATATCGGCCGCTTACCACTTGAGGATACAGCCAGTAGATGCCAGTAGTGGCTTTTGAACATTTTCAACCGCCAAGTAAGCCAAGTGAGCCAAGGCTCTTTTTCACCTCTCTCACATGTCTTTCCTCCTGGCAAGGCCCACCAGATCTTTGAGGGTTTTCCCGACATGATGCGCAGATCTCACATCCTATCGACACCCTGTTGTGAATGAAGAAATCAACATAAAGCATAAAGTTATCATCTACCCTATCATCGAACATGTATAAATGTCATACCATACTGTTTAAATGCGTCAAGATCCAAAGCGCTTCCTAATGCCATCTCGAAACCAAAATCCTCTGCGAAGCTATGTTCTCAACCGAGCAATGCTCCAGTCCAAGCAACAGCAAACGGAAATTTCATAGGCTTGAAATTGATCCAGTCCAAGCTTGCAAGCAACGAATTACTTCCAATCCGTGGAATTCATGTCTATGCATTCTATGTGTAATCAGTCCTGCTTTTCCAGCTCAGCTTTCAAGTCCTCAAACTTCTGCATGCTGTGCCGGCACTGCACGACAGTGCTTGTGGGGAGGTACTTGGCACTACGATGTGAAGACCTGAAAGATCAACAGCCGCGGAATATCCAGGTTCCAAGTAGTGCAATCGATTTTTGTAAAGGATTTTGATCATTTTTGATCCGTGGCAATGATCTCCCTTGACCACATGATTCATCATGATTCATCATGATTCTCTGGTTCTCACATGCTTCTCATGTGCCAGTGATTCTGATTCAATGGGCCCTACAGTACCGCTCAGTGTTGTGGATTTGTCAGGGATGCGAGGCTCACAAATGTCAATTCACAATCAAGCTGCTTCCACTGGTACTTGTATTTAATTGTATTTATGTATTCCCTGATTGGGTGTCATATGGTGTCATGGCTGTGGTTTTTTGTCGTGCTCTCGTTCTACGTCTGTCAAGTCGGAAGCTTGAAGGAAGCAGGGCGACAGTGGACGTGTGAGCGGATTTGTTGAGGAACCAGAGACATTTGACATGGAAAGTGATGAAAGTGTAAGTCACATGTAAGTATTGTGATACTTTAATCTCCACTCAGCTCGCCTAAGCTGTGTCATTGCGAAACAACGGACGCCAACAAATAGACGGGACATTCGTCGCATAATACCTCTACACCAAAGTCTCCAAACAAAATGACTGAAATGACATCTGATTTTGATCCCCGTTTCAGCCCCCATTGATTGACTTGGGTGTAATCAGTCATGCCGACAGTGAGCTGCTTACACCACGGCTGTCGCCAAGGATAGTCATGCCAAGTTTCGTTGAAGACGCTTTATAATATATATATAATTATATATGTATATATATATACATACAGTATGTAATGTTAAATTCATATATATATATATACACACTGGATGTAAACATCCCCTTTTATGGGACATATCGCAGCATTGTGACCACTTGGCAATTGGAAGGATATTGGATCGCAAACCCCAGCAGCCGTCAATTTCCGCTGTTTTCACCTCTTTGAGGAGCTGCAGCTCTGGAATTGGGCTGCCGTGGGAATGAAACAAAGCGAAATGGCCAAATGATGGGTGTCTCTACAGCCTCGCAATATCGTGGGATATGCCAAGAGTCATCAAAAACCAACTATCCTGATGAAGTTTTAAAGCACTTGAGTGTTGGACAAACCGTTGGTGGTTTCCACACTTCCTGTTCTTGTCTAACACCGCTTTGAAAGATCACCAAAGGAAAGAAGAGGCCCAATTCCTTTGGTACACGGTGTGTAAGAACAACAAACAAACAATTTTTGAAGGAGGTAGCCCATGAACAACCGAGATACTGAACAGTGCCGGTATTGAATGATGTAAGTATACTAGTATAGACCCTTCCTGACCTTGACGCAACAAGTCGACTGTTTTGAGTAACCATTCCAAAACACCAGGCAGGGGGGCATAATGGGCATAGCCACACAGCAACTCAAGCTCCCAGAACCGGATCTCGGTGCCAAAGCAGGAAACATATGTTACTTTTTTTCAATTTATTTTCTTTTCCGAAGGAGGAAAGTGCAAGGTGCCAAAAATTGGATGTTGGTTGGATCGGGGTCGATGGATCGGAATGTAGATTGGTTGGATCGGCGAGGTTGGATCGGGACAGTATAGATGGCAACTTTGCCGGCTACCCCAACCGTCCCGACCATCCGACCATCCCGACTATTCCAACCGTCCCTAAAGAAACCCTGATAGAACCCAAGGAACCCAAGAAACCCTCATCCCGACCATTTATACACGATGTTGATCCAGGATCATCTTTGACGCTGATTCTGTGACGCTGATCCGAACATTTGGATGTTGATTCCGGTGATGCTGATTCGACTCGATAGTTTCTGATCCGAAAATTGCTCGCCACAAATTGGAGAAAATCATGCCAAACAGCAGCGTTGGCCCAGCAAGTCGAATGGCAACGCAACAACCGGGTTGGAAAATACCATAGTACCAACATGCTAAAATCATGTTTTTGCTGGCATAATCCCAATTTAATGATTCCATTTTTCATCACACACGTATATATATATATACACACACACGCACACAAACGTGTATGAATACGGCTTATATCTATATCTATATATATATATTGATGCATATTCATTTCAGTCACGTTCCACCCATCATCCAAGGGGTCTTCACGCATCGAGAGCTTCTACGAGCTGATGAATGTTGGCTGATTCTTTGGCCTCAGCATAACAAGTCCGGTCCGCAAGGCCGTAAAGCTTGGTGGGGATGCTGGAAAAATCTTGGGAATTAGGACGCCTCAATGAATACGTTTTTGACTGGGAAAAATAATCGGTATGACACTGCGACATTGGTATGTCGGAAAGGTTTTTAAAGGACATGTTGCGGGTAGCATGTCGAGGATGTGAAGCATCGATCTGAACAAGTTTCGCCTGGATGGTGTGTTCTTAGTTTGGTTGTGTGATATCAAGGTGTGAAAAACGTGAGAAACAACTATGGTTACGGCAGAATGACAGAAATAGGATGAAATTTGCCAGCAAAGCCTCTGTCATTTTTTTCTATATTTAATGCTTCCCCTGGAGGGTTACTGTAACAACCAAACAGAGCTTTCCAATTCTTAACGTTTGGTGATTTTCAATGGTTTTCTATAATTCTTTCGGTGACCTCTGGTGGTTTTTATGATTCATTTCGCCCCTGTATTTTGCATGAAACCTGCCACATTCTATCAGAATAGCATAAGTTGCAACATCTTATTTTTTTCAAATGTTTCCTCGATACGTGTACAGTACGTATATTTTGGGACCTCTGATCAACAAATGTGTGTGCTCTTCTTCATAGATAGGTCATCCTGGATGTCGACGACCATTTCCGGGCAAAATCAATCATAGAAAAAATAGAACCATAAGAAAATAGCGGTCGCAAAATCATCCAAAAAGGGTAGCTATGTTGAGCAACTGCTGAAAAACAAGAAACATGCTGAAATAGATTGGACACTTGCTTGAGACCAATGGTAGAAGCTGAAATAGGTTGGACAATCAGTTTGAAAAAAACAATGGTAACATGATAAAATAGATTGCTTAAAACCACTGGTAAAGTGCTGAAATAGGTTGGACAATGGCTTAAAACCAATGGTAAAATGATGAAAAAGGTCATACAACTGAGAAAACATCTGCCAGATTGAAAGAAACAACACTCACAACGACTGCCAACAGAATTATAGACCCCTCATTATATAACACATAGTTTTCTCTTTTTTTCCCGTAAATTCCCGACAGCTTATATATATATATACATACACATTTATGCACAGTGTTCGTCAAGATTGGGGCACCCAAAACTTTTGGTTTCCCTCTTCCAAAGGGCTGGTTTGGCATGATTTTGGAATACCCCATTTTGAGAACCCCGATCTACTCATAAATATATCCATGTGTATGTGTATTGGTATTTGGTGTGTAATATGTAGCATGCTGTATGTGTATGGGAATGCGTGTATGTCAGTGTATGTGTGATGTGTCCCAACCAGGGCTGTCAACCATTACTCAGTGGAGGTGGGTCAAGAAACCACAGATTTGGTCAACTGCTAATATTAACAATCCAATGAAGTTGCGAATCAACTTTTGATCCATATACAGATACAGACTGAGATAAACAGTTTGATAAACATATTAATATTAATATATATTATATATGGTAGTATATGTATATATATTATATTATATAAAATATTGAACCAACGAAGTACGATGAACGGTTTGATCCAGGCCACCGCATCAAGTTGGGTGAAGGCTTCCTGACGCCTCCGGAGCTCTTGCAGGGCCTAATGGCAGTGCCGCAGTGTCAGTAGAAAAAGGGTGCGTTTTTCTGTTTCCATCAGACACACGGGAAAAAACGATTAACTTATCATTTCATTAATTAAATGACATATGTGACTAATTTAACTCATAGAAATAATAAAGATGAAACAAATGGAAAAAGTAAAGAAACAAATGAATAAATACATACAAAAACAACATTTGCACTGAATGAATGACATATGTTTAATCAACAATGGAAACAAAAAATAAATATAGAAATACACATGCACATATCTAAACACAGAAACAAATCAATAACGAAAAAACCAATGTATGAACACTAACTATAAAAATGTTAAATGTATAAATCTGGTGACATACACACACACACACGTGGAAACAACAAGCTTTGTTTTGGGCCTGTTGAAAAAACGCAACCAAGGCTTCATGCTGGGATCCACGTTTGTCTTAAAAAATTCGGCTTGTTGTAAGATGGCTGTCAAAGCCTCAACACCACAGACATTACAGTCACTTTGACGTCGCAATTCGACGTCCAGCAACCAAGGACCACGGGAATGCAAAACATTAGTGAAAAAAAATAACTCACAGGGAGCGCACATGCACACAGCAATTTTAACTCCTAAAACCTGACCCCGGCACCCAAGAAGAAAAAGTACGTGTTTAAAACGCTGTTCAAAGGAACCTGAAAAAAAAACGCAAGGCCCTCAACAAACAGCTGCATTGACCCAGCAAGTGGGTTGACACAACCACAAGATTACAAAACCGCAAGGCACCAGCACACAAACACATGCCAGAAGTCACCTTGAATAGGGATAAAGGGCTGATACAAATGGTTCATGCAAGCGTGCATACACACATGACACATGAAATTACGTCGGTGGATACTTCGCACTCTGATTCCATCTCATCACGCTAAGCAACCCTGTTGCGGAGCCTAGAGCGCACACCCCTCCCAGGGCTCAGACTGCTTTGACTCGAATGTCTTCATCGCGCATGAACCACACAGGTGCCTGGCCATGCCAAACTGATGCCTTGGAATGCTTCGAACATCTTCGAACGGAGAATTCTGTTAGCATAGCAATGAACAGGAATGAACAGGATCCCAAAAAGAGTGCAAGAGCCAAACGTCTCCGAGGCCAACTAAAATCAACCCATGGACATTCTAGTTGAACACTGGAGATCCAAGCGAAAGATGATCCAAATCAGGTCTTTGACCGATGTTCCATACCAAACTGGTTAGTGACGGTTAGTGAATCCAGGGGCCGTTCATGGGAGGACGCAC